ATAATATATATATATATAAAATAAAAAAATAAAAATAAATACTAAAATAAATAAATAAACTTATTTGGCCTTTTAACAAAATATGTAAAAAGAACAAACAGAAATACATTTCTTATATTAATTTATTACTATGCGATAAGTCCAGATTATTTTTTGTGTAGTCTTCTGCCCCCTGTTATCAGGTGTATCTGATTGTGTAAATTAGGATTTTGAGCAAAGTTTTTACCAATAAATTAAGCAAAAGGTGTCAGAGGCAAAACATTTCAGAACCCGTATGAATCACATATGATACATTTGGCATTATAGGGTTAACAGTTAACTGGAGAGATAGTACAAATTACTACTCAAAGACCACCACGTGTATTTTTTTCTTTTAAAAACTAAGCACTTACATTGACATTTGCCATCTTAGTTGTACATTTTTAGCTTTTTTAAGCTTATGTGTATCATTTTTGTACCTTTATTTATTTTGTTTTGTGTTATCTTGCATCTGCACAGAGCTAAATCCAAATTCTCCTCTTGTTCTTGGATTTTGCTAAAAGCTTGGTGTGTTCTCTGGTCTTTTCTTGCTTTATTTAATGACATCAGCCAGATTCAAGGCCTGAAAAGCACCTGGTCAGGAGCACCATTAAGAACAAGCAGCTGCCTGGAAGATAAAGGTAAACAGCAGCCCCTCCACACACTCTGTGAGGGTCTGACCCTTTATGTGGTTTGTAGAGTTTGTTATCTTTGAAAGCCAGAGCTTGAGCAAATCTGGTCTTATCTCTCTTTGTGGCAGCATTTTACACCAAACAGGCAGCCTGAGGGAGAAAAGTCGGGGGGGCTGTTAACAAAATAAGTGTCTGATACTATATTGAGGGTTGGAAATTAGATTTGAATGGCAAAAAAATTTATTTTCCCTCAGTTCTCAGTTCAAAACTGACTGAAAAGTGTTTACTGAACCCTTAAAAAAATGCAAACCAAGGTTTGAAATTCAAACTGATTTGAAAGCAATCATAATATCACTTTTGAATTTCTGAGAGGTAAAAAAAACAAACAGAAATTCTTGGAAAAGTCTTTACTCACCAAAGATTTTCTGAATTTACCTGTGGTACGGCTGTATAGATTGAATAGCTCATGCTCCTGGATTTGGTTGACAACTGTCTGTGTTTAACCCTATAATCCCAAATGTGTCATATTATATCCGGTTTCTGAAGTCTTTTGCATCATTCAGTGGTAAAAGCTTTGCTCAAACCCCTGTTGTACACATTCAGATATACCTGATAACAGCCAGTAGAAGACTACACCAACATATAGTTTTGACTTATTTGATCAAAATAATTTCTGTTTTTTTTTCTTCAAATGTTGTTGAGGGGCCAAAGAAAGACTTCAGACAAAAAAAAATCCAATATTCTTCCTGTTTTTCTTGGATCAGGCTTTAAAGGGTTAAAGCTGTTTTTAGGGGCTTTTAAAGCTGTTTTTGTGCTTTTAAAGCTCCTTTTTGTGCTTTTAAAACTGTTTTTAGGCGGGCTTTTAAAGCTGTTTTAGGGGTCTTAACCCTATAAAGCCAAATGTGTCATATTTGATCCGGTTTTTGAAGTCTTTTGGATCTTTTTGCATCATTGAGTGGTAAAAGCTTTGCTCAAACCCCTGTTGTACACATTCAGATATACCTGATAACAGCCAGTAGAAGACTACACCAACATACATTTTTGACTTATTGCACGCTAATTTGATCAAAATCATTTCTGTTTTTTTTTTCTTCATATGTTGTTGAGGGGCCAAAGAAAGACTTCAGACTAAAAAAATCCAATATCCTTCCTATTTTTCTTGGATCAGGCTTTAAAGGGTTAAAGTAGTTTTTTAGGGCTTTTAAAGCTGTTTTTGGGGGGTTTTAAAGCTGTTTTTTAAGGCTTTTAAAACTGTTTTTTGGGGGTTTTAAAGCTTTTTTTGTGCTTTTAAAGCTGTTTTTTAGGGCTTTTAAAACTGTTTT